AATATTAGTTTTATAAATATATAAATATCAGTTTTATAAATATATAAATATTTTCATATAAATATATAAATATTTTCATTCCATTAATAATCTAGAACTACCAGTATCCTTACCGTATATTAGATAAATATGTGGCTTTTATATAAATTTATAAAAAAATGTATGATTTGAAAATTTTGATCAAAGTCAAAATCCATTTTATCACCGAACGTGAATCGTGAATTATTCAAATTTTAAGAATTACAAATATTCACATTATACATATAAATAATTCTTATATGTTGAGATCAAATTCGGACACAGAGTACATCGAATTTACAATCGGAAATGTTACGTAATGTAATTACGTTCTTCCAGCGCATTTTATACCGGGCATCTTCCTGATACTGGTCGGCTACGTTGGCTGTGATTTCGTGCTTGCAAACGTCTTTCTATTCTTCGCCTTGGGCTTCAACGGCGCTGCTCTTATCTCGAATCTGTCGAACAATCAGGATCTCGCGCCAAACTTTGCCGGCTTTCTTTATGGCATCATGAATACAGTCGGTAGCAGTTCCGGCTTTGTTATCCCGCCGTTAGTCGAAGAGATAGCCGGCAAATTCGGAGTAAGTATTTACTTTAAATTGATTATTTTAATTTGAAAAAAATAACTTGTATAATAATTCTCTAAACGTATTATTATATCATTCGAGATAAAATTTAAATTTGAAAAATATCGAAATCAGAAATAGATCAAAGGAACTTTTTCGTTAAAACGAGAATAAGTTATGTCAAAATCATGTAAAATATAGAATATTATCGTAAATAATTTTATGATATTGATTTTATGATGATTTTTATTATAATTACACGCAATTGTAATTTTATTATTGTATCTCAACGCTCACAAAGCTAACTCCTAATTTTTCAATTTAAATCTTGATTTATTGATCCACAAGCTTTCGTAAGGGAATCATGTTATTATTTATATCCGTCACTCGCTTTACAATCATCTGTTGTATAACTGCAATTTTATGTATATCTATGTAATTCGCTTGCGTTTTATAATCATTCATTGTTTAACTGTATGTAGCTCGCTTCTGTGTAATCCACTTTGTTGACCATAGTTGTTAAGTTTTCCCCGAGTTATCGCTCTTGCTTGGCAGTGTTGCATAATAATATGTGTAGCATATTTATGTATGATCATCCGAACTGTTGCATCTGCTGCATCTGTGAAATAATTGTAATATTTTTTACCTTTTACAATAGAAATCTTTATCTCGAAATGTCATTTTAACGCAAATTACGCGAGTCTTCTTGGAGACTTAGGCATCATCGAACGACGAAGGG